TATATTTCACAATATCATTTACAGTCATCTAACCTATTTAAAACAAGGTATAAATTAAAAATATAGTCATATAATAAAATACTATCATTAGTCATTAAAGGTTTTTTTCATTGACTAAAAAACATCCATTATATATTGGCTTTTAAAAGTACTTTATAAAAAAGTATGTATGATATGACTCCACTTCTCTAAAATTTCATATGTAAGATATACACATATGAACACACAGGAAATATGTCACCAAAATATTAACAGTGGTTAGCTTTATAAGGTAGAATTTCATTATATTTTATATTGTTTAACTATGCCACAGTACTATGTATTATTCTTACAGTAAAAATGATTATGCCTATTTACATTTTGAAAAAAATAAAAACACTTTTTAAACTAACCTTTTTAGGCTACATTAGCTACTTCTTAGAATGACAAAATAATCTATGATTAAATCCAATAAAAATATATTTTAAGAATCCAACTTGAAATCCTAAAAAAATATATTAAAATGTTAACATTTCAAAAAAATAACACCATATATATTACTCACTGTCTCTTCACCTTCAGCAACTTCTGAATATGGCAAGATCTAAAAAAGAAACAAATTTTCTCAGGAGTGATTTAATCTCATACACCAGAATCTGAATCTAGACAGCACCCACAGTTGAGTAAATGAATTAAGAGGTGCATTAATCTTTAAGTAGCAAAAAAAAAAGAGAGAGAGAGAGAGAGAGAGAGAGAGAGAGAGAAAGAAAGAAAAGCAAAGAAAAGAAAGAAAGAAAGAAAGAAAGAAAAGAGTGCAATATTAAGCTTACACCAGAAACTAAATCCTTAAAAAAAAAAAAAAAAATCCTGAGGCTTTAGGAAATTAGTCAATCTTCTAACCTGTGAAGTTCTCTCTGGAATGTTCTTTGTTTTTTCACAGACCTTCATTACAAAGCATTGCCATCTGTATGTTCGGACATTATTGCAAATTAAGTTCTTGTTATAGAATTTTATTAACAAAGGAAGGGCTTTAGTTTGTTTTACAAAACATTATGTAACGAAGAGCACTCAGCAGTTTTCCTCAGAAACAAGATTCCATATCAATTTGCCTAATTTTTCAATGGTACCATCTTCCTAAACCCTTTAGTCATCTGAAACTCTTTTTCCCTTACATCTGAACAAGTCATTAAGTTCTGATGATTTTTACCTAGACAATGTCTTTCTCACACCAAGCCCTTTCTTTCAATTTCTATTAATACAATGTAGGGCCAGATCCACTTATCTCATTTATCAAATTTTGCATCTATCTCCCTTTCAATAGATATTCCTGCATTCAATCTCACTTCATTCATTTACTATGTTAGGTACTAAAATTCACAAACATGATAAAGACATGTTTCCTACTGTCAAGACAATCACCATATATTGAAGACTATATGTATTGTGTAGTAATTTATTTGACAAGTTATCTCCAGTCTACCTAAATTACTCATTCTTGAAGCTAGCCTTATAATTAGCAAGTAATTTAACTTCTGTGAAGTTAATTTTTTCCTCTATGAATACATAATTATTAAAACTTACAACTTTCCAGACTTTGCTTTATAGATTTTTTTTTTTTGGTTAATCCTCACCTGAGGATATTTTCCCATTGATATTTTAGAGAGAGTGGAAGGGAAGGATAGAGACAGAGACAGAGAGAGAGAAACATCAATGTGAGAGAGACACATTGATTGGTTGCCTCCTGCACGTGCCCCAACCAGGGCCAGGAATAGAGCCTGCAACCAAGGTTCATGCCCTTGACCAGAATCAAACCCAAGACCCTTCAGTCCATGGGCTGACACTCAATCCATTGAACCAATCTGGCTAGGGCTGCTTTATAGATTTTTTTTTTAAAGCAATATATAGATGTAAGGCAAAATTACTTAGTAGTAAAACAAATGACCAAGACTACGGATGGAGAAGGAAATGATTAATTTACCAACTATGACTTTAGCCATGTTGCTCCTCCTTAACTTAAAAACATTGATAGCACCCATTACTTAGAAAATAAGCTCCAAACACCGATATTTAAATTTTCTACAATTATTCACTCCACAGAAATGTTTTGATCTCCTATGAAATAGCCTTGCACTCCACAGCTCCACTTATGTAAATTCTATCTAGGAAAATTGATTGCTCAGAGTAATCTGCAATTTTGTACCTGTTTTCTTTTTGCTTCCCTGCTCAATAGCTCGAAAGTTCTCTGACCCTGAAGGCTCAACTCAAATAGCCAATTCTGCTACCAAACTTCAAGCTAAAGTTATCTTTCCCCAACTCTGGCCTTAAAATATCAACTTGTTTGTTTTTACAATTCATAGTTATCTTATAGTATTTTCTCTGTTGCTATCATAAAAAATTAAACTGTTGTTTAACTTTTTCCTGGTATTATAATGGTCTAGCACAGTTCTGTCAAATAGAACTTTCTGCAATGATGAAAATATTCTACTGGTATATCTATGCTAATCAACAAATATAGCTACATATAGCTATTAAATTGTTGAAATGTAGCGAGTGAGACTGAGAGATTAAATATTTAACTTAATTACTTTAAATGTAAATTTGCCATAAATAGTTGCCCTAATGGACAGCTCAGGTCTAGTACAACCTTACCTTTCCCCAGCTCAACTTAATTGACCACTCTCTATCTAGCATTTGCCACTACTGGCCACTCCTTTTCTCAAAACTCTCTTCCCTTTCCTAGTTTTCCAGCTATTTTCTCTGCTTTCTCTTCTTCCCTCTCTCTGCTTGGCTCCCTTCCTTTTCTGCCTGCTTAAGATAGTTATTTCCCAAGGCTGCACTCTGGAATCTCTCCTGTCCTCATTCAATATGCTTTCCCTGACTTGATTTTTAAATGGGCTCTATTCCTTGACAATTCCCCAAATTAGTTTCCCACCTACCCTCTCCTGAGCTCCAACCCCTTAAGACCATCCCAATCACCTTCCCAGTACATTCATTCTTCTTACCCCAGATAAAATATCACATCCTTGGTTAAGATCTTTCCTAACTTCCCATGTCAAGCATAACAAAGGGATACTATATCCCAGCCAGGCAGAAAAAGGGATATTCCATCTGATTGTCACTGCATCCTTCTATCAGGCAGAACTGCAGAAAGGAGCTCCACATGTTTCTAAGGACATTGCCCCTGTACCTCCGTCTTCCTGACTAAGGAGGTGGAAAGACCTCTCACTCACCTTTACCCCAAATCTCAACACTTACAGCCCAATCAGCAATCTGCCTAACAGACCTGTGAGTTCCAAACTTGGCTCTTTTCTCTGCCTAGAAAACTACATTTAGGACTCTGTTCAAAAGTCACTTCATCAGAAGACTTCCATGATATTCCTAGAAAACAACAACATCCATCCCCTATGCCAGTACTCTCTCCCCGCTTTATTTTTCATCACAACAATCATCACATAACATCTATATATATAAAAGCCCAGTGACAAAATGGTGGAACGACCAGAATGATAAGTCGAGCAGTCGCTATGATGCGAACTGACCACCAGAGGGCAGAAGCTCAAAGCAGGAGCTGCTCCCTGGTGGTCAGTGTGCTCCCACAATGGGAGTGCCATTTGGCTGACCTGGATGAGTGGCGCTCCCACAGCAGGAGCAGCCGCTCAGAGGGCGGGTCCACAGCCATTCAGCTGACTGGGATGAGTGGCTGAGCGGCGCTCCCACAGCAGCCTAGCCCCGCAGGCCACGCCCTTCACCAGTGCACGAATCCATGCACTGGGCCTCGAGTAGTATATAATGTATTTTTTTCTTCTTCCACTAGAATGTTAGTTTCACTGGAGTAGGAACTTTGTTTTGTTCACTGTTGTACTGCTTAAAACTAGAACAGAACCTGACACATGGTAGACACTCAATAAATACTGAATAAATGCATAAATGAAAAGGGCATAATCATTATTATAATCCTAATATCTAGCAAAGAATTTTTTACATGTAGCTTGCTGAGTTACTTGTTTACTAAATGAATTAGCTTAAATTCTCTACAGCAAAAAACAAGTCTTATTCATCTTTGTACTTTACAAAACTTAACATTCTGCACACTTAATATGGATACACAAAGAACTAATATGGATTACAATCATGAAATCTCTCTACAAGATTCCCTGGGTAAACAAATAAATATCTTAAATTTAATTTTCTTATTTGTTCATGAGAACTGTCCTAAAATTATTATACTAAAAATTCAACATAAAAAAGTGCCTCAATGCTAAAAATATCCTTAGTTGTGCTTAAAGCATATTCATATTTTCTTCAACTATCAGTCTTGGCTATCGTCATATGCCCAAATTCCAATGTTAGGAATTCCCCCATCCTTTCTCTTAAATAATTCTGTCCTTTATAAATAACATTGTTACAGATTCACCATTGGTTTTTGGTAATGGAACAGAAATTGTATTTCTTTCAGTACTAATGGTCTCTTGCCATGATTACATCAATCTCCTTCATCTAGGTCTTCATATACAAGGAAAGTTCAAAATCAATCAATATGTCAATTGTAACTAATGCCGTGCATCTGGTGAGACTGCTGGTGAAGTTTGTGGTTATGAAATCAGGGGGGAAAAGTGATTGTCTACTAAAAAAATAAACCCATAATCATGGCCTTTGACCTTACTAACATTCTCCTCTATATCCAACCTAACCATCCATGGTTACCTGAAAATGTTATGAATTAACAGAAATCATGTTATCACATCACAATCATGCCAGGTTAGGTATGAAACTAGTTCTATGAGATAGCTCATGTATATAAATATTTCAGTGTATGATGCTTGCTCTTACGACCTATTTAAATTATTTTGATTTTGAGTCTGAAATAAGAGCTTATGTCACTTGGAATTTCACTGTGGCCAATTCTTCATACAGATGCATGAGCCTATATCCTATATTTAATCATGACCAGGATCTGAATTAAGACATAAGGACTAGTACAGCATAGGGAATATTGTCAATTAGCTATACTAATAAAAGGGTAATACGCTAATTAAACCAGGTCAACCGGACAACTTCCGGTCATCCGGTCCTCCTTCCAGACAAAGCCACGGTGGCAGGGGCCAAGGCAGAGGCGGTTAGGGGCAATCAGGCCGGCAGGGGAACAGTTAGAGGCGATCAGGCCGGCAGGGGAGGGCAGTTAGGTGCAATCAGGCTGGCAGGGGAGGGCGGTTAGGGGCGATCAGGCCAGCAGACAGAGGGGTTAGGGACGATCAGGCAGGCAGGCAGAGGCGGTTAGGGGTGATCAGGCAGGCAGGCAGAGTGGTTAGGGCGATTAGGCAGGCAGAGTGGTTAGGGCGATTAGGCAGGCAGGCAGGTGAATGGTCCTGGACTGGAAGAGGGGACCCCCCCCCCTGCCGCCAATGCACAAATTTCGTGCACCAGGCCTCTAGTATTTTAATAACTATGTATGGTGTCAGGTGAGTACTAGACTTATCAGGGGATCGCTTTATAAGTTACATAAATATCTAAGCATGATGCTGTACAGCTAAAACTAATATAATATTGAATGTCAACTATAATTGAAAGGTAATTTTAAAAAAGACTTAAGGACTACATAGCAAA